TGCAGAGGAGGCTGACCCGACGGTGGGGCTTATGACAGGGATAGAACTGGGGAGGCAGCAGGGCCCACCTAGAGCAGCCAGACCAAGATGGTGGAAGAGATGGGTCTACCACAGCCAATGGGGGTGCTTGAGGGAGTTCAGGCGGGCAGACAGTGATCCAGTGGGGAGAGGAGAAACCTGGGGCAGGTGGACAGGGGACTGGAAGTCGGTGGGTGTTGCTAGAGGGGCTGGGTGGGTGGAAGGGCGCCTGGAGGCAGATTGGAGGCCAAGGCGGGATGAGCTGCTCTGAGGAGCTGAACTTCTGCTGGGAGAGCTGGATCCCAGTGTCCCATGTGCCACCTGGTGGGGAGCAGATCCTCCGTGTTGGGAACTGAATGAATGAAGGAAGGAACAAATGAAGGAGAGCTGACACCAGATGCCTGAGGACACTGGCCCAGGGGACAGGAGAGCCTGAGGAGCAAGGGCAGAGGTGTGGAGAGTGCCTGCTCCATCGCAGAGGACGGGGAGAGGGGTGGCGACTTGCACAGCAGACAGGCCGGGAGCCCTGGCTGGGCACATCTGGGGAGGGAGACAGGGCATCTACCAGGGCTTGAGCGCTTGGTCAGATTCTTTCTGAGAGCTGCTGTGGAAGAGGCAGGAAGGCACCTGGTGCCAGGTGGGGGCAGCGTGGGGAATGGGGGAGGAGAAGATGTGGGTGCCCCAGCAGGATGGGTCACTAGCTGGGTGGGGTCAGCGCCCAAAGGTGAGGCCACGCAAAGCTACACCAGGGAGCTGACAGCCGGCTGGCGTCCAGCCACTCGGCTCTCCCAGCCTCGCAGGTCTCTGTCTTGTGCTGCCGTGGGAAGGAGGAGGAGTGTCCCCACATGACCCCCAGGGTTCAAGATAGCGATCCCCCCTTGCTCCAGGTGGCAGGCAGGTTGCCCTGTGGGTCCTGCTGTCTCCTGCTTTGCTAGTGGCAGCGGGGCCCCAGAGAAGGGCAGGGGGCACGTAGTTGGCTGTACTGGGCATCAGAGAAGTGGCCCTGGGGAGCTGGTGCTGGGGCACCCCAGGCCAGCCCCTCCTCCCTCCCAGGCTGGCAGAGCCTCGCCCTCCCCCCACAGCTCCCTGCTTCCACCCTGCTGGCCTCTGAGTGGGCTCGGGTGCATAGGACTGTGTGTGAGGCCTGAGTGTCCCACTGGCTCTCACGGCACCAAAGCATGGCCCATGTAGGTGTCAGGGGACAGCAGCTGTCACTCCAGCCTGGATGGCACAAACTACTTGTATTGATTGTGGCAGGGACAGTGACTGTAATGACGGCTGCCTTCCATGTGTGCCTACACCTCACAGATCCAGGTGTGCCAGGGACACTACTGAGAGGTGCCTCGGGGTTCTAGTGGGAAGCTCCACGACTCCCCTCACATCCCTGATGCCCAGAATGCGGGCCCTTCCCCTGACCACCCCAGGGCTGTGGCCAAGATGGGGAGAGATCTTTCCCCCACTCCAGGCAGGAAGGCCTTTTCCAAGTCACTAACTGATGCTGTGGGGAACCCAGGTGGGGATAGAGGAGCCCAGTGGAGCCCCAACTGTGGTTACAGGATCTAGGTTGGGGTCCCCTCAAGTATAGAGGGTCGGGGCTGAAGGTTCGGGTTTCACCACAGCCCACCCATACACTGGAATCTAAGTGCTCCCTTTCCACTTCTGACCTGCCGCCTCACTTACCAACAGGAAGGACAAAGTGGCACAACTCCGGTTTCCTCTGCCTTCCCGCGTCCCGGCTGCTGGGGCCCATCCAAGCAGAGCTGCTTTCCTGAGCAGTGCTGGAAGTGGGGCTTCCTGGTGGTGAGGCTGGGGGGTGAATGGGCCCCACAGAGGGTCATGCTCCAGGGGTGGGCAAGCATGGGGACCATGCTGTCTTGGCCCCTCTGCTTGGTGGGACGGGGCAGGCCATAACTCCATGCAACAAGGTGGCTGGGGACACTGTGGGGCACTGACAATTCGGCACAGGAATGGACACACTGGGAGGTGGACACTAGCTGCAGATTGACTCCTGGCTCCCCAGTGTAGCCAGTCAACTCCTGCTCTCTGTGATTCCCATGAGCACTTGCCAAGTTGGGGTGACCAGTTTCTTCCATTTGCCTAGAACCTTTCTGATTTTATCCCAGAATATTGATCTCAGGTATTAAGATATAAAAGAGAGATAAGACACACACTATACCACGGAGCCCCGGGCTTGAGCAGAACCTCTGCCTGGCCCGCCCTCTCCTTTCTACCCCACACCCAGGGGCAAGTGCCCACTACAGATGACAACCGACAGCCATCTTTATAAGTATATTTTTATTGAAAATAAAAAAGTCATGGTGCTTCCTTCCTCATAAGCAGCTTTCGGTGCACCCCACCCCAAGGCTGCTGGTCCCACTTCCTATACAGAAGCCTCAGCATGAAATTGACATTATGGCTTGTTGGTAGACAAGACAGCTTCAACTTGTACATCTGTCCATTGAGACAGAACCCCAAGGGACAGGTCTTTTCCCCTGTACACACGGCACATTGTTAAGAAGGCAGTTTCAGGATATTTACATTCATGCATTACGTGTCTGATGCTACCTGGGCTGCTTAAATCATACTTTGTACAGATGCAGAGTATAGTAATTATATATATATATATATATATGTATAGATATCTCTTTAAATATATATAACTATATATAATATATATGTCTATATTTTTACACCTATTAGTCTTTCTTCCCAAACTTCCTCTAGAAGCCTCTAGGAACACCTGATGACTCCGGCAGATCCTAAATGCCATTGGGCTCCCCATCAAGATGGCTGAAGACATCTGAGAAAATGCTCAGGAGCATGCGTTTTCTCCTTGGCCTCAGAGCTCAGCCTCATCTGAGGATGGCCCTGCATTGAGCACCACAGATCCATTTTAAAGCAAAACGTCCTAAGCTCACATGCCCTTTGATCTTAGGAACTAAATTTCTGGTGGCCTCACTCTCTGCACTGTGTATCCTCTGAATGGCCAGCCCTGACGAGGGGGCTCCTCCTGGGTTTGCTCTCCCTGGGCAAGAAGGGATTTCACAAGCAAAGGTGAGGGGGTTCACGTGCAAACCCAAGCCCTGGATGTCTCAGAGGCCAAAGCACAACAGACAGCTCAGTCACGGTTCCTGCAGGCCAAAGGTCAAATTTGGGCTAGGTCTGAGCCAAAGTTGGGGACAGTGGTACCTGGTGGCATGGAAAGCTGCACCATGCTGAACCTCCCTGGGTCTGGCCCAGCCTTCCAGGACCCTGTAGCCACAGGCCTCCCTCCAGCTGAAGGTACCTCCCGTGGCTCTGGAGCTTCTGACTAGCGTGGGGCCAGGTGGCATGAGCTTAGGGCCCTTCTGCCCAGGCATCTGTTCAGGACACCAGCGGCTCGCATACCACAGGAGGTGCAGGCCATGGGGATGTGCTCTGGGGGGTCTGCTGCATTCTCACCTTCCCTGCCCCTATTCCTCTGGCCTGCTTGTCACCAAGTACTGTGTCCCCAGAGTGCTGCACAGGGGCAGCCAGCACGAAGGCCACAGGCAGCCCTGTGCCAATGCCTAGGTGCTGGGGAAGCGAGATCCAGGTCCAAACCCAAGCCAAGTCCTCAAGCAGAAGAGAGGGAAGGAAGACAAGGCCCCCATGGGAGGGCATGCCCAGGGCTGTGCCCATCAGCCTGGGGCAGGAGAGTGGCTCGCGGCTCCAGAGGCACATGGGCTCCAGGACAATGGACATTTCAGCCCAAATGGGGCTGATTTTCACGGCTGACAGTCTTCCCTGGATTTGAAAGTCTCACCTGCAGCCCAAACACTGGCCAGAGAAGCTCAGTGGTGACTTAGGTGGCAAAGCAGGTGCAACCAGTTAATTCCTACGAGGCCAGTGTGGGGGTGACGCAGGGAGCCATGGGGTCACAGTGCTCTCCTAACTGTCAAGGGATGCACAATCTCCAGGCCTTCCAGGGCGCAGCAATGAGCCCCCTAGGGCAGGTGACCATCTTGGAAACAGCTGGCAGGGCTGGGGGTCCCCGAGCCTGGAGGGTCCCTCCTTTCCCTCCCCTTCCTTCCCACCCTCAGGAGGGTTCGAGACTCTCAGAGGACGGGACCCCAGAGAAGACATTCACAGGGAGAAACTGGGCAGAAACACCTTTCTGGGGACTCTCAGGAGAGGGTCTGGGTGCCATGGTCAGGCCTCGGATGTGTGGTGGTTCTGCCTCTGCGGCAAGGCCTGGCTCACACGGGGGCTCGTTCCTGTGGGGCCAGGTGTGGGGCTGAGAGCAGGCGCAGGGGCCGCGGCCGTGGCCTGGCCTAGGCTCCTGGGACACACCGCCTCAGTGTGGACGAGCCCCTCTGGCTGCTCCTAGGGGATCTGCAGGTGGGGCTCACCACCCCATGGCAGGCAGACAGGACCTCGGGGCCCAGGTGTGGCTGGGGACGGAGGGTGGAGCAGGCCGGGAAGACTGAAGACAACCGAAGGGGGTAAGGACAGATGGGTGGGAAGCACCTTTGAAAGGGGACGTCTGTCTCATGGCTGTGTCGATGGCTTCTGTTGGGATGTTCACAGAGAAGCAGGTGGGCTTCCTGGAGGGGGGATTCAGGGCCTGGGGCGGGCTTTGGATCACCTCTCTTTTGGCTAAAGAGGGGGCACCTCCCCAACCCAGCAGGCAGACCCTGTCTTCCTCAGAGTGCGTGCTTCAGGTAGCAGCTGGGGGACAGTCAGGGGACCAAACATAAGATGAGGAGGAGGTGGAGGAGGAAGCCGCAGGTGTGACGCTGCATGCAGGGGCCAGGCTCAGCTTGATGTCCGTGTAGCCCCTGCCCCAGGGCTGGCCGGAGCTGGCCAGGGAAGAGGGTGGGTTCCCCTCAGAAGGCCCGAAGCCTGCACGACAATGGAGTCCTGGGCAAGCCTGGAGTCAGCTTGTGTCCACTTGGCTTCCCATGTCCACTAGTACCACCAAGGTGTCCCTGTGGCCATCGGTTCTGGGCCTGGGGGTAGACTCACACCACCGCACTGTTCACGTCCACCCCTTTGTTGCTCTGGGAGGAGCTCATGGGGTACTCGGCAATGCTGGTGCCATTTTCATCTTTTCTCAGTGGTTTCCTAGAAGGGGGTTGGGGAGGCAGGGACATCGTTAGATACCAGTGACTGTGGGGTGGACCTCTGTAAGTCCTGGAATGAAGCCCTCTCTTCTGGGTTAGCATCCTTACACTGCTGGCCCTGTGGGGTCCATCAGAAGCCGGATTGTTCTTAACTAGAGTGACCATATAATGTAACATGCAATCTAGGAGATGAGACCATTGCTAACCAAGCAGGCCTGAACTGGGACTGTTTAGACAGATCAGAACGTACAGTCAGCCTCATAGGATCAAGTGTGGAGTGATCTCATTGATTGTGGTCATGAACATGGACACAGGGGGAGCAGACAGTGAATAGAAAGAGGCACCAATGGGCAGCTTTACCCTCTTGCTTGTGTGGCCAAAGGAAAATGGTAAATACGATGAAGGGCATGGTGTGGTTGGAATAATGGAGGAGGGGGTAGTGGCAGTGGTGATGGTGGTGATGACGGTGATAGTGGTGATGGTGGAGGAGGTGGTAGTGGTGATAATGGTGATTCAGGTGGTGGTGGTAGTGGTTATGGTGATGGTTGTGGTGGTGATGGTGATAATGGTGGAGGAGGTGGTAGTGGTGGTGATGGTGGTGGTGGTGATGGTAGTGCTGGTGATGATGGTGGTAGTGGTAAAATGGTGGAGGAGGGGGTAATGGCAGTGGTGATGGTTGTGGCAGGGTAATGGCAGTGGTGATGACAGTGATGGTTAGACCCAGGGCAGCAGTGACAAAGTGATGATGATTATGGCGATGGATGCCCAAATTGAATTACCATACATCTGTGCTTTTTGAACCCTTCATCCTAAATCATCTGCAGCTCATTTCAGAGGCTACTTAACCCCAAGGTCCATTGTTCTATCCACACAGGGGACCAGGGCCATTGGAGGGAGGCTCTGAGAAAGCCCCTGCTCAGTTGCTGAGCTCCTGAAATCTCTGTGCTACTGTCTGTCCTGGCTCCAGTCATTCGGGAGAGCTCCAGCCCCACCTGGAGTATCTACACCCTCCTGGTCTGGGCTGCCCATTCGGGGTCCCAGCTCCATGCCACAGTCCTGCTGTCCTGGGTGGACCTGATCCCATCAGGCACCTCCCAGGTCCCCAGGACTGAGCCTGAATGGGCACTTGCTGAGTGCTGTCTCCACTGAACATTGTGGCCACCGTGAAAAGCTCAGGACGATTGCATGTGCCTTCTCGAGTGTCCCCAGAGCTTCCCAAAGGCCATGTGAGCAGGGCTGGCCCTTGGTGGCTGGCTCCATGCCTGCGATGCAGCCTGTCTGAATGAGCCTGGTGGAGGGAGGTCTGTAAGGAGATGGCCAGTGGCAGCCTGGGTGGAATTGTGGGCCTCGGAGAAGAGGGCTGAGCTGCAATCTGCTCCTGGCTCCCCTGTGGTGGAAGATGCTCACAAAACCAGGAGGAATTGGGGGAGCACTCTGCGCTGTCAAGCCTGGCCCAGGGCTTCTTCTAGAAAGGGAAGGGGACACCCACACTTCCTGCCACTTTGTGCAAAGCAGTTTTCTCAGACATGTCCTTGTCCCTCCTCAGAGTTCCCCAAAGAAGCAAGGCTGGAGTCAAGGGTCGCTTTATGGGAAACTGAGGCTTAGGGAGGGCTTTGACCTGCTGGGGATGATGGGACCACCACCCCCTGCCCCTGCATCCTGGGCCACACACCCTCCCAGTATTGGGACAGCATCCCCTAAAAATGGGTCCAAGGTCCTGTGGGCATGGGAGGGCCTCCCTTACCCTCCTGCAGGGTCCTCCACACCTGGCTCTTTCATTCACCTCTAACCTGGGACGTCTCATGGCATGGGGTCCTAGAACCCTGTCGAGGGAGAGGCTCACAGACACCTGCACATGGTGAGGGGAGAGGGTGGCATCCAGGGCTTTCCTGAGAAGTGGACGTGGCATGCTCCCCTCCTGCCACTGGAGCCAAGTCCCCAGCCATTGTGCTCCCCGAGCTGTGGCCCAGAGCTGCTCCCAAAGCCTCTGGGCTTCAGTAGTACCCAGGGGAAGTGGGGTTTTTACCTAGAGCAGAACAGTAACATTGATGCAGCACTTAGGGGCAGAAGTCACAGCTCAGGGAAACCTGGCTCCGTCACTCTCTGGCTGTGTATCTAGGGCAAGCTGAGCAACCTCTCTGTGCCTCAGTTTCATCATCTATAAAATGAGCACAGTAATGGTGTCCATTTCATAGGCTGGTTGGGAGGATTAATTGTGTTAGTGCATGTCAAGCACTTGGATGAGCATCTGGCAAACAGTAAGTGCTCCATAAGTGCTTGTTAACTCTTTGCTCTGCTGCTAGAAGGTGCCAGCAGGGGCTGCTCCACTGGCTGGTAGTGGTCAGCATCCTCCAGTCTGCACAGGCTGCCTACCTAACACGTGCCCGTAACGATCCAGAAGGGCTATGGGGCGATGCTAGGACCCAGCCTGGATCTGGGCTCTGTGGGCCAGTCAGGGCTGGTCCCCCAAACCAAGGAGAGGCATGTCCACCCTGGTCCAGGCAGAGACGGCCACCGAGGGCTCCCTAAGTGGCATGGTTCCTAAAACCAAGAGAAAGGTAAGTGAGCTCTTCCTTGGCCGCGCTCAGGAGGCCAGGCCCTCCCACCTGCCACCTCTCGTGCCCCTGTGGCATGGGAGCAGCAGGCGCTCTGTGTTCTCTGCTCAGAGTGTTGTGTTGACGACTCTGGATGCCCGCAGTCCAGCGACCTTGGCAGAAATTTGCCTGCCTTGGGCAGGAAGTTCCAGGACCCAGGTGGCACTCCGGGGCTGACGGTGGCGCTTCCACCCTCCACCCTCCACTGCGGCTCTGCTGGAGATGCTGCAGGCAGGGTGCAGCTCGGGTGGCTGAGAGGGCCCCCAGCTCCCCCTAGTCTCACCCCAACCCGGAGGGTTTGCTTTCAACAAAGTGGGGGTTACAGGTCCCAGGTTCTCCCTGCCAAAGGCATCCTCCTCCCCGCTGCCCAGCCCAGGACACACACACACACACACACACACACACACACACACACACACGGCAGAGGTCGGCCACGGGATGAGACTCCTCTGTAGACTACAGACTTCCCTGACTCTGGGTCAAGAAGCCACCAAGCTATCCCTGTGAGGAGCAGCAGTCCCACTTCCAGGCCTGGGCACCTCCCCGCCATGTCCCAGGCAAAGATGAGCCAGGTCTGAGCACCTGCACACCTGAGTGGAAGCTGAGGGTCTTGACCAGATCCCTGGCTTCTGCTGAGAGGCCTCCTCCGGGGAGCCACATGCCCAGAGGGGACAGTGGAGGGCGTGGCTGGCTAGGCAAGGGTCCTCTCACGGGCTCTGCCCTGCATCTCCCCTAAGCTCTGTGGCTGGGATTCATTCAGGATGATGCCCTTCCCAGCCAGGATGCTGGAGAAAGGACCGAAGGGCCACTTACAGAAGCCTGGACAGAGAGCCTCCACACTAGCTCGAGTTCAATGACCATCCTTCAAGCCCCTGAGATGCCAGCATGGCTGAGGGGGTAAAGGCCCTTTGCTGGAGGGTCTCTGGGCAGGAGTGGCCCCAATGGCACCTGTCTCATTGGGACACTGGGAACCTGCTTCTCTGAGGCTCCAGGAACAATGACTAGTCCAGAACCTTGACCCAGTGGGCCTGGGGAGCTGGCTTCAGAGAGGGGTGAACTTCTTCATGACAAAAGAAAAAGGCCCCAGAGCTGGGCACAGTGGCACACTTGTAATCCCAGCGGCTCGGGAGGCTGAGGCAGGAGGATGGTGAGTTCAAAGCCAGCCCCAACAAAAACAAGGTGCTAAGCACTCAGTGAGACCCTGTCTCTAAATAAAATACAAAATAGGGCTGGGGGTGTGGCTCAGTAGTCGGGTGCCCCTGAGTTCAATCTCCGGCACACACAGACACACCAAAAAAAAAAAAAAAGAAAAGAAAAGAAAAAGGCAGAGCTCTGTTTGGGTCTGAGAGGGGTGAACTTCATGTCAGCCAGCGCTGATGGAAAGGAGTCCACGCAAGCTCCTGCACCCAGGGCAGCCTGACACCCGCCACATCCCGTCTCAGCCCAAGCCCTTCTTGGAGGCAGGACAATGGTGATGATGGTGGGAGACACTGTGGCATCCGGACTCAAAAGGAGCCAGTGCGTTGACCAGGGAGAAGCCAAACCCCAGACAGCCCAAGGACGGGGCAAGGCCCAGGAGCAGTGCTGGCCTCGGGGGCAATGAGTCTGGATTGTGCAGCAAAGTGCAGGTGCCGGCTCCTTGAATGCAGCAGGTGGCCCAGGACGGCAGGTGGTTTCAGCAGTTGAGGCTGTGCCCCGAGGCCCAGCACTTGACCAGCAGAGGCCCCTACGGGGAGTGTGCCAATGTGCACTCAATTCCCAGCAGGAGAAGTGGTGACCTGGACTTCCAGCCAGGGACAGCACTTGGGCATGCGTGTGTGTGTGTGTGTGTGGGGGGGGGGGGGTTACGGGTGCCTACACAGACAGCAGAGAGACATGACAGGTGGGAACAGCTGTCCAGCCCCAGCTACTACATCAGGCCCCCACCTGGCCACAGGTGTTTGTCCCTGAGATAGACCAGTCGCAAAGCCCAAGGGAATCCCAGATGCATTCCAGGTGTATTTCTTGCTCTTGAAGTTCATGGTGAGTGGAAAGTAAACGAAGAATTTCCATCCTGTCCTGAATCCCTGGGCCTCCCTGGGGCTTTGGGCCAGCCTGCCTCTGTGTCCCCTGTCCCTACCCTTCAGCTAGTGGCCTGAGTAGGGAGGGGAGTGGAGGTGGCTGGCCCCTGGCTGGTAGCCGTGCTCCATGGGGTGGATGAGGAGGTGGCAGGTGGCGGGACCCTTCATGGTGGGGTCTGAGCTGTCACACACAGGTGGGAGGGAGGCTATGCCACTCTGAGGTGGAGGGGAGCTGCTGTGTCACCGAGCTAGAGTGTGGAGGAGGCTGAAGAAGGACTCAGGGGGAAGGGCAGAGATGGCAGAGGGTGGAGGAGACCGAACCTGGTGCCAGGGTGGGGCCTGGCATTGAGCCCTGGGCACATGCTACTTACTCCAAACAGATTCTCCTTCACTCACCCAGAGAGAAGGGGGCGGGGAATGAGTTTGCTGGAATTCTAAATGGCCTTCGTCAAATTCAAAGGTGGAATCTGGCACGTGTGTAAACAGGCCTCCATTCAAGCCAGAGAAATGGTCACCAAGTGGCCCCTGGTGCAGGTGCCGTGCCAGGCACAGCGGGGAGAGATGAGTGAGAGGAGTGGGATCCCGGCTTTACCTCTAGAAAGAAGGAAGCACAGGCAGAGCCATGGACTCAGACAAGCAGTTGGGCAGGGAAGAGAGAGATCTGGCATTTCTTCCATTTGCTCATGACCTCTCCAAGGCTGCTGTGGTTCGGACCCCAGGGAAACTCATCCCCAGCCCTGTCTGGCAATGCAGCTGCCCAGGTAAGTGGGTCTGCTCTGCAGGAAGGAAGAACAAACCCCTTTCTGGGCCACCCTGAAGTCCCAAAAGAATGTAAATTCTGGAGGAAAAAAAAAAAAAAAACTACTTCCACTGATGAGCTTTCTATGGAGTGTCTATTTGGGCCCGATCTTATAATAAGTTCCTGAAGGAATCAAGATGAAGAAATGAAGCCCCGGAGCGGGGTGGGGGAAGCCGAGTGTGGAGAGTTCCAGACAGAAGCCTGTTTGGAGTGCTGGTCCCGGGAAGCTGCTGCGGGGACCGCAGCCCAGTGGCTACACAGCAGGCCCAGAGAGCCACCAGGCCCCCCGCAGAAGGACGGAGTCTCCAAGAGGAAACTGGCACCATGGGCCCGAGCACACCGAGAGGAAACCCAGGAAAGCAAAGAAACCGTGGTAAACGGCAGGCTCACAGGTTAGACTAAGGTCACCACTGATATCCTGAGCCCCACCCTGGGAGGCCACCCGTGGAGGACGGAAGAGAGGAAGAGTTTTGAAGGTCTGTGGGTTAGGGGTGCCGGCCCTGGTATTCCATAGTGGAACGTTAGTAGATAATGTTCCAAATTGGAGGAAAACTCAAATAGCTGTGTGCACATCACTTAGAATCAGAGGAGACACAGCAGGCAACAGCTGTCAGAAGTGGCCGCCTCTCAAGAATGAGATGGGGAAGAGCAGCGGAAGTCAGGGGCTGTTGTTTCCCTAATAACTTTATGGCACATAGGACATTTTAAATTATGTGCATGTATTAACTCTGACAAAAATAAAAACTGAATTAAAAGGTGGTAATGAGTGCGCAAAGCCCTAGCCACACTTTTGAGTCATTAAGCTCTTTAAAAAAGTGTGCACAACACGCCTGACTTGCCGGTTGGTGGAAGCAACCCCCCTGCGTCCCCTCCTTCTGTGCCCGCTCACCTTCTCTCTGTAGCAATGTCTTTTAAACCACCTTGTGGATTAGTTTGTGGGTGTGGGCGTGTAATCTGCCTGTCTCACTGGCAGGATGAGGATGGGGTCTCAATCCTGTTCACTCTGCATCCCTGGAGCCTGGTCTAGGCCCTGGCATACAGAAGATGCTCAATACCCGTGGACCAACACCAACTTTCTGAGAAGCCCTGTGCCAGTCAAGGGCTTTTCCAAGGCACCACGGAAGAAGCTGGAGCATTCAAAAGTGCTCATTCCACAGGAAGTGGCTCAACAGCACATCTAGTAATAGCTGGAGTGCAGGCTCTCCAGCCCCGCCCGAGAGTACCCACTGCACTGACCACAGTCCAGTCTGTAGGACCGGGCTCCCCCTCGGCCCCACCGTCGCAGCCTGAACACGAGACAGAAATGGCTGTCAAGAGGTTCAATGGCGAAGGCACAGTGACAGCAAGGACCAGGGCCCTGAGGCCCCCAGGCAAGGCCTCTGCCTGTCCTTGGGGTGTGGGTGCCTCTACACAGGAGCACGGTGTGTGTGGGGGTCATCTCTCCTCAACACAGGGGCTTTCATGGGGTGAAAGGGTGCAAAGGCCACCCCAGGAGGGCAGCTCCCTGCTGAGTGTCCCCAGGTCACTGGGGCAGTGGGTGCCTTGGAATTTTATCTTGGTGACTCGATGGCTCACCCTGGTTTAAGATTCCTCTTCCACTGTGGACTAAGAGGCTTTGGTTGTCTGGACTCTCAGAGGTTCTGTCTGCCCTCAGCCTCTCCCCTGATCCTGGAGGATGAGGTTCCTGGGAACGCTGACCACTACACCTCCCTTTAACGAGGCCTCCTGACTATCTTGACCCCAGATGCTCAACCTGGCAACTCCCAAATCGCCTCCTTCCTACCCCAGCTGATTCTAGAACCATCCTCCTGCAACCTGGCTCTGAAAGGCTGGACGGGGGCCTTTCATGAGATGGAAATCCCCCCTGGGACTGGAGGCCGCGAGAGCTCAGAAACGTGGGGCTTCTCACTGAATTTTTCTTTCACAGTGACGCGGCCTGTTTCTGTTTCCTGAGAGTAAAGGCATGTTTCAGATGAATTATTGACCAAAAAGAAATGGCCGAGAGCAGGAAACCCTCCATCTGCTCTGGGGAGACGTGCAGACAGACCTGGCTAGCACAAGGCTCTCTACAGCCCCCCCAGGGCAGGCCCCCAGGGCTCTGGAAGCCGGTAGGTCTCTTCCTCCGCCTGCAGTGTGCAGGCCCCCTCCTGGCACCAGGTATTGTGTTTCAAGGACACTGTCTCTGGATTAGGGACAACCTGAAGGCAGAAGCTGGGTCTTATTCCCCGTGTCCCAATCTTGGCCAAGAGGTGGATGGGCATCATGGCTGTCTCCACGTGCCCCCAGCTGCCCATTTCACTCTCTCCCTGCTTGGCACCCCAGGAGGCTCATCTCAGACCACATCTCTCCATTTCCTCGGCGTCTTGGGTTTGGCCACTGGAGGACCCACAGGAGACCTGAGAGGCGGAGATGCTGGGGGACATGTCCTCCCCTTCCTCTGTGTCTCCACCAACTCCCAGCTGGGCAGACCCTCCCTGAGGGCTAAGTTTCCGTCCCCTTGGCTGCTGTGCTGGGGAGCTACTGCCCCATGGCTGCTCTGGCTTCATCAGCTCCGTTTGCTCCCTGGACTTGCCCATGTCCCTAGAAAAAGCTGCCACAGCCCCTGGAGGGAGCCTTCCCTTCATGCTCCTTCCATGGTCATCCCCTAGCCCTCTCAGAGCCCAGCTCAGCTAAGGCAGGGCAGCACTACCCTGACGAGATGCTAGTGCGAGCTCTGTCTGTCTGTCCTTCCCAGTGCTTCGGACTCACCCTGCCACACTTACAGGCCCCCCTTTTCTGCACCCCTGAGCAAGAGCAGGAACATCCAATACTGGAATCAAACATATTGGTAAAGTGGTGCCCTGGCCAGGGCTGGGCTCTGGAGTCACATGGTTCTGGGCTTAAATTCTGACTTGACTGCTCCCCGGTTGTACCATCCTGGGCAGCTCCCTAACTCCTCAGGGCCGCAGTTTCCTCATCTGCAAATGGGGCTGTTTGGAAAGAGATGAGGCAAAGAGGAGCCAAGAGTGTGGGTGAGGGGGTGAACCCGGTGCCTGGCGAGGAGTTGACCACAGTTATTCCCTGGGTATTTACTGTCGTTTTAGAGACTGCCCTGCGGCATGGGCACTGGAGAAGGGGGGTTCTGGGCTGGGAGGTCCATGCCCAGGGCATGGCCTGTGCCGCTTGCAGCAGCCACGCTGGGTCCTGCTGCTGGGTCTGGCCTCTTCCGCTCACTTGCCAGGACACTGTTGGCCCCCTTCCTGGATGCTTGATCATGATTCATTTTAAGACTTTCAACTTGATGATGTTAGTCTCTGCTTTTGAATTATTGAGGTGAGGTCGCATATGCCAACAGATTAAAAGAGGTAAATTAAACGTTTTAGGTGTTATGATCCTTCTTCACAGGGACGGCAAGGAATTAAAAACGCTTTCTTAGATACACCGTATTATTAACAACTCCCATGACCCTCTGGAGTTTGGCAATATTTTTGGTTCTTTTGGGTTGCGCCGGGCCTGACACACAACGGGTGCACGTCAAACGCTCGTGGAATCAAACTCCCTAAAAAAAATGGGGCATCGTGACTGAGGTTTACTTTAAAATATTCCAGCAACAAGAAAGAAAGAAAGAGGAAATAGATGCAGCAAATACAGCAAAACCTCAGAAAGTGCGGGATCAGGGCGAGGGCACAGGGAAGTGTGTGTACAGTCTTTCTGCTTCTTATGGGCTCAGCAATTGCTATGATTTTAAAAAGTGCTGGAGGGTGGGTGGAGGAGCCCGGAGCCCAGCGGGTTCCCCCCGGGACTCAGAGCTGGGCACAGTGACACTCACCTTTTTATGGCTTTGTAGCAAATGATGACGAGCACGGTCAGGAACACCAGGGCGGCACAGCATACGGCCACGATGATCACCAGCCCCGACCACCAGCTCTCCTCATCGGGGCACGAGGTAGAGTTGGGAACTGGAAGACACAGGAGCAGCTGAGTCTCGGGGGGAGCATCAGAGGTGGGACCATCGCGGGTGCCACCAGCCTGGACTTCCTGGACATCATTACCCCCAGGAAGGCCCTCTGACCTTTCCTGCAGGCCCACCCCCAGCCTGCGGCGGGTGACGTCATGCCTGGCTCCCAGCCAGCCCCTCCCCCATGCCACCATCCCGGCCCTGGCGTGCGCAGAGCAGGGGTTAAGTGCCGCGCCCGGGCCATCCATCCTCCCTTGGCATGAGCTAACTGACAGCCGGGTCAGGTTTAATTTCCCATGAAAAATAACAGAACATCTCATTCTCTCAGTTGAGGCATTAAATCCGGTTCCGCTACAGGTGGGGGTGGGGAGCAGGCTCACAGGGGACTCCAGGGGAGGAGAGAGAAAAGGCGGCCCTGAGGTCAGTTTCTTAAGCTAATTGTTGCAAGAGGCTGGCTCTGTGCAGTCCTGGGTCTGGCCTAGTGGAGGACACCTGTGGTCATCTCAGTCTGTATGGGGGTGGCCAGAATGTGGAAAAGTGTCATCAACAAAGCACCTGGCACTGGGTGCCACGAGGCCCTCTCATTGTTATCCCACCCATGAAGTCTTTGGGGTGAATCTGCACCTCCTCGATATGGGCTGTGTCGGGTGCCTCTGAAGCATAGGTGTCAAGAGGCAGGCTCAGGTCCCCTTGAGAAAGCAAAGACACCACAGAGCTTCATCCCAGAGCAAGGTCCTGGAAAGACCTGGCACAACTGGAAAGCTGTGCTGGGGACAGCAGAGGAGCTGGGTGGGGGAGGAAGGAGAAGGAAAGGGAGGGAAGGTAGAAAAGAGAGAGGAAGAGAGGAAGGGGGATGGACGGCGGTCAAACAGACAGTGCCAGCCTTGGGTAGGTCTTCAAGACACAAGAATATACCCAAAAGAATCAAATATGCCCAGCCTCTGTCCATTCAAGAATAAGTGACTTGAGGACAGCCCCGGGACTTGGGGGACAAGTGGGGACCCTCCTAAGGACAGGCAGACGGTCTTATCATTCTGATCCAGGGGTTAGCTCCACCTCACGTGCACCCCTGACAGCTTTGACCAAGGTGTCCACCTGCAGAGGCCACAGCCCATCACAACACAGAACATCCCCACACCCTAGAAAGTACCTCTTTCTACCCTGAGGGCAATGGCTATTCTGATTTCTAAAATCATAGATTAGATTTGCTTGTTCCCGACATTCACATAAACAGAGTCGCCAACGTCTTCTTGTTTTTCCTTTATCCAGAGAGTGGTGGAGACTCGTCTGTAGGTTGCACACTTGAGTATTCCTTCCTCTCTGTAGCTGAGCAGAACTCCACCACGTATGCTACCATTTGTTTACCGTGTCCCTGTTGATGGACACCTAGGCTATTCCCAGGTTTTTGAGCTGCCGAAAGTCGTGCCTGTGAGCCTTTGTGGAGACGTGTTTTCATATTTCTCTTGGGTAAACACTCGGGGTGGGGCTGCCGGGTCCTGGGGTCTGTGCAGATTGGCCTTAAAAGGAACTGCAAGCTGCTTTTCCCCAATGCTCCCACTTTTGTTCTCTCCTGGGTAGAACCACGGAAGATGCAGAGGAGATGGAGAGACGGTGGTGACTGAGTTGTTACTGAATTAACAGCAGCTGGATTAAGAGATCCAGGAAGCTGTTATGCACTTCCCAGGGGGCTGGTGCTAAAACACCATTAGCAAATGCAAGGTCCTCAGGGTTGGACCTCAGATCCCACGTATAATCAGCTGTGCTTCCCATGAAACGGCTGGGACAAGAATGCCACTGGGCTGCCCCAGCCAGGGCACAATCAGGTACAGGATCCAAAGTCTAAATAAACTCAAGTAAGGGGAGGGCGGCCCAAAGAACTCCCACTTACCTCTTGAGGAACTTGCTCGATGTCTTTTCTTTTTTGAAATATCAAACCCCAAATCCTTCCTCCCATTTCCTCAGTTGAGGTGTCCCTGACTTGGGCAAGTCTTCCCAGGGTGACCAGACAGAGATCCAGGCCCCTTCCCTAAGCAGCAGTCGCCGCGGGGGTCAGACATACCATCAGATCACACAAGGCTGCCTGTCCCCACGGGGCCCACATGCCAACGCCTTACCCTCTGTTCTCACTGCCAAAGAATCGGTTCTGGTTTCTGTGCCAGGGGTTGTTTCCCCGAACAGTAGCACTTTGGTGGTCACAATCCCAGCAGCTGTGGACACTCATGTCCGTGAAAGAGGTATTAATGCCCAAGGTAGAACTGTCCCTTGAAAGATGCCAACAGGGCGAGAAATTCCATCAGCTCGAGGAGCTGCACTTGGAATCACTCGATTCCACAGCTCCTCCTTCCCCTGCATAACCGTCAATGGGGTAGGAATGTCCTTTGTATGGTCACTTTTCAAAACACAATGGATCCTGACAGCAGTAAGCTCTAGCTGAGTGTCCCCCTCCAGCATTCAGAAGAAACAGCTTTCCCAGGGGCCAGGCTGGAGACCTCAGTCTTTGGGCTACCTGCCAGGCCTGCCCCCGCCTCAATTTCCCTGTGCTGGATGTGGCCAGTACCTCTCTCCAGAGATGACAAGGCAGCTCATTGTGTGGGTAGCTGACGGTTTGTACCTGAGAGGACAGTGACCTGAATGTGCTCATTCATTCATTCATTCATCTACCAGATACACACACGGAGCGCCTGCTGCTCGGCACTGTGCAGAGAGCTGGGGCTCTCAAGATGAATCAGACGGAACCCGCGCCCTCCCTAGGCCTGGTGCCAGCTACCCCGTGAGTCACTACAAAGCTGACTGAGACCTGATCCTCTTGCTCAGGGAGCCGGCAGTCTCCAAAAGAAGAGGCACGCACAGATGGCTAACCTGCCAGGTGAGGTCATCTGTGGCTGCAGGGAGGGTGGCTCAGGGGCAGGAGTGATGCCTCGTGAGAGACCGGGAGCAGACAGGGGAGGCCAACGCAGTCAGACTGTCAAGGCTGCCGAGCTCCTGCCTCCTCTTGTCACTCTCTCTGCACATGACAGAAAGGCAGGAGGTGTCCTGGCATCTCAGAGGTCGCCATACCCTTTCTGAGTCTCGGCGAGGCTTTGCCTCTTGTATTCAGGAAACATTCCTGTTGCCTAGAGGAATGGTGAGACTAGACTGGCCACCGAAGAGGACAGTTTAGAAAGATCTAGGCTTGTTTTGAATTCATCCGAGGAGCCGCGTTCTTAGGAAACGTATCACTAAAAGCTCTGGGACTTCTAGCTGGGTGCAGTCGCACGCCTGTCATCCCAGCGACTTGGGAGGCTGAGGCAGGAGGATGGCAAGTCTGCAGCCAGCCTGGGCAACTTGGCAAGGCCCTGACTCAAAATAAAAAATCCAGAAGGGCTGGGGTGGAGCTTGGTGGTAGATAGCCTCGGGGCTCAATCCTAGGTCACACACACACACCAAAGAGCCCCGGCTGCTGCTTCACCCACCCCCGAAACACAAACCTGCCAAAGACCAGATATGCAAAACACGGGTCCTCACAGAAGAGGACATTAGGCCACAAGAGACAAGAACCGAGTGAGGCGGGTCCGGCCCTGGGCCCACCTGCCGCCTGGGCAGTTTCTCTCAGTGGTGCCGGAGGGGAGCAGCCTGGCAGGGCCCACCAGGTGCCAGTCCAGGGAGCTCCCAAGTCAGAGGAAGCCTGTCCCCAGGGGAACTCTGAGGAGAGGAGCGAAGCCCAAAAACAAATCCCTGGCTGAGCATGATCGGGCCTCGCGGCAGGTGCTACAGAAGAAACGGAGGCGAAGAAGCCGCCCTGCAGGGGCCTGCAGAGGAAGCAGAGCAGCAGGAGCTTCAGATGCCCCCTGGACGGGTCCCCAAGGCTGAGCTCACGGGGACCAAGCGGTTTCTAGGGAGAAGTGGGGGCTGGTGGCTCCACCCCAGGTCCAGAGCCACAAAAGAACTGTGAGCTCCGGCCAGCCCTCCAGCCGCTCTCAGTGATGGACGCCTCCCCGGGTTCCTCGTGGGTTTGTGGCTATCGCATGAGATGACAGAGGCAGAGTTCCTGTGGGTCGGAGGAGCACAGCCACCGTCACCCGGCGATGACTGCAGGCTCACCATTTGGCATCTCCCCTTGTAGCAGTAGGACACTGAGGACAGAGCCGGTGTCCTAGGACAGCTCCCAGCCAACTCGGCCCACTAACCCCGGGGATATGCAACCCGGGGAACAGCTGGCTCCATCAGAGCCAGAGCCAGCTGTTTGGAGAAGTTGTGCACAGATGTTTGGCTGTCGGGGGACTGAGCAAGAGACGAGCGAATCAGACAGCAGTGAATAGTTTGGAAGCAATCTGTTTCGCAGCATCGCTTTCAACAGTAATGCAGTCTGCTTCCAGGAGAAGGGAGTGACAGCCGCGTCATTTGTTTTAAAACCACTTTTCCATCTTGAGTCGGAGGCTCCGTCGGTGGCTCAGCCTCTTGGCCCTGTGTGTGGCCTCCTCACGAGGCCAGCCATTCGCTCACGCCGCCTCCTGCTTGTTGAGCGTAGCCTGAATTTCAGGCACTGTTGGGACACGGTGGGCCTCGGGGACGTCATCAGACGTCTCTTCCAACTTCCAAAGACTTTGGTGACTCATGCGTGCCCAGGGGCCTGAGTGGTTTCCTTCGGTCCCCAGGAGCTGAATGTCTCAGCTTAACTGGCCTTAATTACGATCAGGGGAGGCGGCTGCCCACAGTGGCCATCTGCCTCCAGCCTCCTCCAAAGCCCGGTGACCAGCCCCACTGACACGTCAGGCCAGTGCTTGCTTCTGCAGTCACCAATGCTGTGGAGACGGGTGTCCATCTCCTGCCAGGGGCGAATGTCCATGAACCTGCTTCCCAAACAGCAGACAAGCCCTGCCATTCCCAGGGGAAAATGAAGGCAGAGCTGTGTGGGCTGGGGTCACCTCTCCTTCAGGGGTTCCTATGGGATTGGTGACACCACCAGGCAGAGGTGACAGCAGTCACAGGTCCCCACTTCAAGCGACGGTCTAATGGCACAGT